TATAAATGAATGGGTAGGGGAAAAGCTATATTAAATCATGTTTGATGGGCAGGTGTAGGAATAAGATTCCAGTTTGAAAAGGGGTTCCCATTTCTCCACCCTCTGCTTACAGTTCAGAATCAGGCAAACTGCCTTCTCTACCCAGAAAACCAATTCCTTACCACAGACATCTCGTTAACGGGGACCCGTAATCATATGAAATGTTCTAGAGATTAGACCTTTCCAAAGAGGTGACTTTCTTAGCAAACATTTACTTTATTTCCAGGACAGCTCATGCTTTAATCACCATGCTCTATACTGTACATATATATTTCTCATTTAATCCTCTTGATCCTATGAGGCAAGAATCAGAAATATGAAGTTACTCACTCACGATCACAAAGCTAGTGCCTAATGCCATCAGAGCTCAAATCCAGGCAGTGCCAAACCTGCATCACCATTTCATAGGCCCTCTCTCCTAGAAGGGACGACTCTGATGTTCACATGGCTTACGTGAGCCTTCCAAAACAAGTGCAAAGCAATTACCATGAAATATACCCTAAAACTTTTCTTTGCCACGCAAACCAACAGACCATTAATTTAAAAAGAAAACCATAACTCCAAACAAACAAACCGTTAGGAGTAGGATATTATTTGGCAAAAATGGCACCTTGGTACAGATCTTGGGAGGTTGGCTTTGCCAAGAGAAATGGGGGTTGCACTGGGTATGAGCATTGGGATTACAGATCCATTGGTTACAATGCCATTCTGATTATTCCATTCAAGACAGGAATTGGAGTCCAAATTCTGGGTAAAAACATGCTTTTAGATAAACATGCAGCAATGAATCCCAATAGTCTATTCTGAAGGGAAATTATAGCCTTTGATTTTTTTTTTTAATTTAAATTTTGGGTTATAGCAAACAGCAGTGAGCATTACCTGTACAAAAAGCATCTTGTATCACCTTCAGGAATATTAAATTAAACCTGATGACCCTTTCTTTTGTTAATTTGCATTTTAAATGCTACGTGGTTCTAAGACATGTATTTTACACATATCTGCCAGATACAGTCTCTGTTGATTTACAGAGGGTTTGGATGATTGGCTATTATTGGTATGCATGTCTGTCTGTTTCCCTAATTTACTCATATGTCCTTTATACTGTCCTTGCATTCCATGAAGGTTTTCCTTCTTCAATTTTCCTTCAGCTGGGAGATGTTTGCTTTCCTTTAGCAAGGTCTTGTCTTCAGCCCACTTCTTGCTTTTCTCATTTCTTCTCCATGTACTCACCGCTGGCTGCAGACCTTCCCTCTTTGCGGACCCAGCAGCAGCAGGCACATTGTTCTTGCAGCATCCATGCCGCGCCGCCCCTCCCCTCCTGCCTCCTGGAGGACTAAACTCTGCCTCCTTTCTGGGTCAGCAGACCTTCAAAGGTCTTTGACCCACAACTCACTTGAGACTTTGCATTTCTCTTGTCATAGTAGCCTTTTAAGGTGTTTCTACTTTTGATTGTTTTTGGTCACTGGGTAAAACACCCTCAAAACTTATATAAACACCACAACTCTGCTCTGCATTCTTGGCATTTTTATGATGGCTGTGGAAGCTGACCCCAAGCTCAATTTAAGAGTAAATGAAGCAGGTACAGACGGAGCTGCTGATACGTAATTTTCATCTCACGAAAAAAGTATTTCTCTGGGGAACAGAACCTCCAATTTTGTTTCCCGGAAGCCACTTCAATATTTTGTTTAAAGTATAGAGATCTCTTCAGAAAAGAAGGAAAACTAACAAGTTAAATATCACAAGTCGCCCTGTCACAAATAACTAGAAGGAAATGAAAATCTCAGGGCATGACATGTGCCAAGGTAGAGAGGTAAGATTTTTCAGGAGAGTGACAGCTGTACTAAACACAAAACCAGATTAACCCAGAGCAAAGGGCCTTCTCCCAGTTCTCTCAAAGGTCGGGCAGGAATGTCCAGCCACGTCTACCATGGCACATTCCTAATCCCCATCTCTAAGCATGTGTGAGAAGTAAAGCCAGCCTCCTTTCCTAAACTCTGAGCATTCAACTATAAAAATCAACACATAATAGGTGAGATAAGACATATTCAAAGGGCATCTTAGACACAAAATGTTTCCCGCCCCAGAAGCAGAGAGTGCAAGGACTCTTTAGAAACTTTATCGATCATGTTAGCATATCTAAGGAAAGAATGTGTCAATCAGAAAGGGGATTTGCTGTGGACAGCAGAGAAGAAATGAGATTGGAGAGGAGCACTTGGCAGCAGGATCCTGGATCCCCAGCATTCCAGAGGGGAAAGGGCCCTGACTCACCCGGGCATGCACCTGGGCGGCCTGGCAGAGGGGTCCCTAATGGGGAGACAGGCCATCCGGCCAGCAGAACAGGTGCCAGCTCACTGGCGCCTGAGATCCACTCTCTTCATGCTGAGTCTACAATCACCACACATTGATGGTCAGACTTCCTAGTTAGCTTTCCCGGGCAGATAAAGTATACTGATACTTGTTCCCCTTAGAGTTGTCTTTTTTTTTTTAAATGAGTTAATGCATTGACATTCTGATGTATATCCTTCAATTTCTTGTGAGTTTGGAAAATGTGGATTAACATTCCTAAATTCCATGAGCTCCTGGGCACTGTCATGACCAGTTCTGTATCTGTTAGGCCAGAGATCAGACCATTAATAGTGTTAATTCACCAAGGGAATAAGTGAGGCAGGGTGCTTCTGGGTAATCATGCAGACAGCACGTTTGGTAACATAGCAATACCCCTCCCTTTTACCACATGCCTGTCTAACCAAATCCAGAATAATGATTAAATATTGCACATGTGCTATGTTCTTATACTTTATTCATTAAACCCTTGTTATGTGCTTTGAGGCAGAAAGTATTATTGCCATTTTATAAATTAGGAAATTGAGGCATAAGGGGGCCCAAGGTCACGTAATTTGTAAGTGGCAAGGCCAGATTTCAACCCCAGGACTGTCTCCTATTCTGCTAAAAGAAGTAGGACAAAATCTTAGGTCACCATCCACTAGAAAGAGTAACCAGAAACCAGCAGGAAACGGGGTGGCCCTCTTCAGAGATTAACCTATCATTAGAGTCCTATCAAAACACACCAGGAGTGGGGAGTCCATAGATAAAAGCCAGTGTTCTAAACTTGAGCTTTGGGTTTCAATGCCAAAGTGAGTTCAAAATCTTCAATGCTCTTCTGGACTCATGGAATACGCCTCATGGTTCTGAGCTTTCCTACCCATCTGTTTGGAAAATCAGCCGAGTATGGGATGCTTGCTTGCTTTACTCAAATGCTGAGCCACAGGGAATGGGCATATGCCTGCAGTTGACCAATAATAATATGTAAATAATACCAGTAGCATCTGTAGCATCTGTGGTTACCATGGCAGGGGTGTCCAACCTTTTGGTGTGTCTGGGCCACACTGGAAAAAGACCACATATTCTTGAGCCACACATTAACTACATTGTGACACATAATCACAACAAAATCTCATAATGTACTAAGGAAATTTATGATTTTGTGTTGGGCCACATTCATAGCCATCTTCAACCACATGCAGCCCGCAGGCCACAGGTTGGACACCCCTGAGAGTATCTTATTTAATCTTTTCCATCACCTTGTAAAGTAGGTAGTTTAATCCCCATTTAAAGATGAGGAAACTGAATCTTCAGTTTGGGGTACATTTCATGGTAATTCGCCCAAGGTCACACAGCCCTGGAATCTGAGCTCAGGCCTGATCTGACTCTGGGATCCATTCTTTGAGCCACTCTGTGTCACTGGCCACCAGAGATGTCTCTGAAGGGAAACTAGACACAGCCCAACACACTGAGGACAGTCACTAGAAGCTGGGGACATGGTGAGACCACACCCACCACTGTGTTTCTGTGGCTGGGAAGAGCTGCTGTTCCCCTACACAAGGGCTCACTCAGTGAAGTTTGAAGAATGAATGAGTGCAGGATTGAAGGTCCCATAAAAGACTACCTGTGGCGTGGTGAGAAGGCCAGCTAACTTTTCACACTTGAAAATGGTGTGGCTTGATTTAATGACCCCTAAAGTTCCAGGCAACTTGAACATTCTCAAATATTATAACATTTAGTTGACAAGTAAGGCAGTCAGAACCTGATAAGTGAAGAAATATCAGGAAAAAAAAAAAAAAGCAAAATGTGTAGACCTAGGGCTTAGTAGGTCAAGGTAACAACACTCAGGTGGTGTGGTAAAGCGGGACCAGGGGCACCTAGACTCTTTCCTGACTCTAGGTGTCAGCTCTGCTACCTTCAGTAACCTAGGTTACCTCTCGCCTATAATAATATGGGGAGAGGGACAGCTGTCTCCCTGGGTTCTTATGCAAGTTAAATGAACTAATACATGTAAAACACCTCAAGCAGAACTCTATAATAGTGATAAAAAAAATTAACTCTCTTCCTTTTTCTATAACTAATTCCCTTTAGCAGGAAGGAATCAGTTTTCTAAGAGGAGGAAACTTCTTACTTTAAGGCATTAAAACTAATCACAATCCAAACCTTTTCCAACAAAAGAAGCACCTGTATCTCAACCACAAAAACAAAACAAACAAAAGAAGGAATTTGCTTGTTTCGAGGACTGCTGTGGTGTACGGGAGTTGAATGGCATGTCACCTAAAGCTCCAAGCCAATTGCTTCTTCTAGTCCCACAGTGAGACAACACTTCACAGAATTCGGACCATACCTGGGATCAGCATCATTTTTCATCAAGCCCAGAAATTTGGAAGTACCATGAGGAAGGACTCTACCATGCCAGTACCTGCTGGGAAGCCAATGTTTTGAAAGAGGAAGTGTCTGGACTGTCTTCACCCAAGTTCCTTCTCATGGGCCACAAAATGGGCAAGAAAAAACAAAAAACAAAAAATGGGGGCCGGTCATAAGGATCCCCATGGTGAGGTTTCCAGAGCCAGTTACCAGCCCTGGGACAGGGATGCGGGGGAGACCTAGGAAGTACCGTGAGCACCAGCCCAGCCTACCTGCGGACCACCAGCCGGAGGGTCTTGTAGGATCCTTTCACCAGGGAAACGGCCTCCCGTCTGGAGCTGCTCAGCACGACCTCATTGATGTGCACCACCTCGTCCCCGGCCCGCAGTTTGGAGCTCACCAAGTCTGCTTTGCCCCCTTCTTCAATCTGCTCAGAGACAGGAACAAACCACGAGTTAGCTGCCCTGGGCGCCGCCCGGACTCCGAAGAGGCCCGCAGGCCCGCCGAGGCCGGGACCCACTTGCAGGGTAAGCTCTGAGCCAGCGGGGCCTGCCTCCTGTTTCCACACCCTGCGGGCCCACAAAGGATGCTCAGTCCAGTGTCATATGCCAGTGGATGCTAGTGAGGTGGCAATAACGATGAAAGGCAACAAAAATTGAAAGGAAAAAAAAGTACATAAAACCTGACCCATATTTTCTCTTTTTTCAACCATTACTCTCTGGAATTGCCCACATGTTCAAACACCTTCAATAGATCTTAATATATGTAAAACAGACCAAATTCCTATAATGACTTTATACATTTGGCCCTTGGTAGCTTTTAATTATTAAAATAATACATGCTCAAGTCAAGACTTTAATTTTTCCATGAATACTTATTCATTTGTTAATAAATCATTATATAGTCATTATTTATTATAAAGAATGAAAGTAATACAGGAAGTGTGTAAGGGAAAGGGGACAGTGAGCTTTGCTTCTGCACTTTTCATGTTATTCTCCAAAGGTGACCACTGTTTAGAGTTTCACTTAAGACTTTCATATATATGTTTTTTTCCTTTTACAAAAATGATATCACATTATACATACCTGCTCCACCACCTTTTGGCATCTAACAGAGAGGCTTTAAAGTGAGGTGGTTAAGAGCCTGGGGAAACAAACAGATAACTCATGTAAGAGGAGCTCACTTACTCTCTCAAGCTGCAGACTCACCCATAGACACCGCTCCCGTCTCACAGAGCAGCAGTGATGAGCAATGAGGCTGGTCACATGAACGGATGAATAATTCCTGGCTGATAGTAAGATCTCGGAAGTGGTAGCTATTGTTTTCATTAATCATGTATCATAAAGATATTTCCATTCATAAAACACTACTGTAATATCTTGGTATGAATATAGAATGGTGTATTTATCCCTCCTCTACCGATGGTCATTTTCTCCTGCCTTTTTATCCTTTTTGTTCTGCTAGACTTCCCTGCCAAGCTTCTTTACATTTACTTTTCCCCACATACACGGGGCACACTCTAACCTCAAGGCTGCTCAGGTTTGCCTTCTACCCGGGTTGCTCCTCACCACCTGCAACATTGTTAAGCCATCCATGAAAACTGGAACCAGACTATGTGGCTCTGTCACTTACTGGCTGGGTGACTTTGAGCATGTTATTTAACTTTATTGTGCCTCAGTTAACTCTTCTGTAAAATGATAGTACTTACTAGAGATTGTTGGGAGGATTAAGTGAGTTCATGCAAGTAAAATGTTTAAACAGTGTCTGGCACATAGTAGTATTCAATCTAATTACTACACATTCTTTGAGACCAAGCTTGAATCCTTTTTGCTCTAAGCCTTTCAAGGCTTTACATTAACACCTACCCCACCCCTTCACCCAATCTATCCTTTAAGAAGTAACTCTCTTTTCCTCTATTTTTAGAGAATCTAATGAATAAAAGAATACAGAAACTGGAAAGTGACATCTAAATAATTTATTATTTTCATACTACTTTAACACACTACTTGTGGATATCACATTGTCTTTTTTTTTTAAATCTTCAAGGGCATTTTTTTCATTGTTTTTAGAGAGAAAAGAAGGGAGAGAGGAAGGGAGAGAGAAACATCAGTGTGAGAGGGAAGTATTGATTGGTTGCCTCTGGTATGTGCCCAGAATGAGGATCAAACCTACGACCTAAGTATGTGCCCTGACCAGGAATCGAACCTGCAACTTTTCAGTTACAGGCAAATGCTTCAAATAGCTGAGCCACACCAGAAGGGCTATACCCTGTCTTTCAGGACAGCTATTTATGCCTGTTCCCTGCCCAGAGTCTCACCCTATCTCCAGCTTGGGCTGTGAAGTCTTTGAAGATAGCAACCATGACTCCCTCTTTACTTACCCCAGAATGCCTCCCCAGAGCTTTGCACAAAGGAGCTCCTCAGAAAATATTGGTTTATTCATTCAATCAATATTTATTAAATATCTATTGTGTGCCAGTTACGGAGCTAAAAGCTGGGGCTACAATGATGAATACTATAGATAAGGCCCTGCTCAAGTGCAGTTTGTGGATCATTTGCCAATATTTTCTATAAAAGGAGAATGAAGTGAGACCTAGAAAATGATCAATTTCTTACATAAAAAAGGGAGTCAAGAAAGCTCATTTGTATATCTTATATTATGTCCTTCTCTTGACTGATTTAATGTGAAAGCAAACATTGTAAGGAGGAACATCATAAAGGATTTTATTGTTGTTTGCTGTTCTCATAAACCATCTGTATAACCCTTTGTATTTAGAATTTCATATAACACTTCACTCTGCACAGAATTTTTTAGGTTTAAAATACTTTTAAAGTGTCATCAATATAATTATTTATAAAATTGAAAAAATTGGGGGCTGGGGTGATTTTTGAAGTGCTATTTATGTAGCAAATATGGGTATCTACTATATGAGGCCTGTCCAGAAAAAGTCCAGCCATTGTTAATATAACAAGAACAGTATCGATGTAACCTGGCAGCCAAAGAGAATGGGCTGGAATGTGTATGTGTGAACAATGATGACTTCACTGTACTAGTCAGTGGGGGCAGTAGATGCCTTTGAATGAGCACGTGTACTGTGTGGCCCTCACATTCAAAATGACAGAGCAAGTAGAGCAATGAATCTGCATCAAATTTTGTGTTAAGCTTAACCATTCCTCCGTGGAAACTATTCAGATGATTCAGAAGGCCACAGCTATCATCACAACATGCCCATTCATGCATCACATCTCATGCAGAGTTTTTTAGTAAAACGTCAAATCACCCAGGTGACTCAGCCCCACTACAGCCCAGATTTTGTGCCCTGTGACTTCTGGCTTTTCCCCAAACTAAAATCACCTTTGAAAGGGAAGAGATTTCAGACCAGCAGTGAGATTCAGGAAAATATGATGGAGCAGCTGATGGTAATTGGAAGAGCTGTGTGAGGTTCCAAGATGACTACTTTGAAGGGGACTGAGGTATCATTGTCCTATGCACAATGTTTCTTCTATCTTGTATCTTCTTGAACAAAAGTCTCTATTTTTCATATTACATGGCTGGATACCTCTTGGTCAGACCTCATGTTATTTTGATTCTTAAGTCCCTCCATATTTTCTCAGTGGTTCATGCTGTCTTCAGGTTCTAATTATTACCAAAGGTAACTTTTAGATCTTTTCTCTAACACTGATGTTTTGCATAAGCCTCTATCCTATTTTTCAGTTTCTTTTTCCTTCTTTCTCCTTTTTTTCTTCCAAATGTCTCTCCATTGTGAAACTTCTCCTTATCAACCCAGACAGAGTCTCTCTCTTTCTCCTCTAAATGATTTCTACCTGTCTTGAAACAAGCTACAATCACTATCTTTGTCATGGGTATTTAAAAAATTAAATTAGATTTTTTATTTTTCAACTATAATTGACATACAGTATTACATTAGTTTTAGCTGTACCACATAGTGAGTAGACATTTATATAACTTACAGAGTGATCACCCTGATAAGTCTAGGGCCTGTTGTGGATATTTCTGATCATGCCCTATCCTCAGTTCTAGATTTTAAACTCATTGAGGTCAGAAACCTAGTGAACCCACTCATTCTTTCATTCATCCACATATATTTTTTGAGCATCTACCATGTGTCAGGCATTGTTCCAGAACTGGGGAAATGTCAATGAGGGAAACTGTATTCTCCTTTCCTGGAGTTGACATTCTAGTATACTTTTAATACATTCCATATCTTTGTATTAAAAAAAAAAAACACATGCACTTTCACTGGGACAGGTCAGACAGCATACACTGACAAAAGCAAGACTACATTCTTTCTGTTGTTCAGGTACTTAAATTTACCCATATAAATAATTTTGAGGGAATCACAGGAGCCCTGGGAAGTTTGCTCTGTGCTAGAATTTACCCAGAGGTTGTACTTGAAAAGGGAGACTCCCAACAGGACTTGAGTTGAGCCAGCTGGTCCTGGCATGCAGACCCCTGGTGTAGCTCGGTGCGGCTCACCAGATTAAAGGCTGCTGTGTCAGTTTGCAGGTTCTTGGGGCCTCACATTCCCCTCCTGCTCCCTTGCTGCTGCTGGCCCTGCCACTGCCTTTCTGTTTGATAGTGTCAGTGTCAGTGGATAATTCTTTCTTGGCCACTCAGGCAATAAACTTGGTTGCCAAGAAAGCTGAAGCTTGTTGTTGTCTCTATTTATTATCACCAATGATAAATTGAGATGTTGAGGTGCTTTTGCCAATGCACTGGTAACAAAATCAATTTCAATGCACCAAGGCTCGCTAAAGGCATACAGCTTCAGTTGATGTCAGTTATTCACATAATCTTTCTAAAATCATTAGTATGACTTTAAAAATATTTACAAAAGTTTTAACAATCATTTTTTCAAACTATTCATCAAAGAGGATTATACTTCTTCGAACCCCAAGCCTTGCTGATACTGTCTGTCAACAAGACTCGGTAAAAAATGCAGCTTATTATTTTAAACCTTTGGACTAATACTTCGGCAGCTAAAGAGGTCACTGGTATTGTTTGTCCAATTTCACCTGCATAGAACTTGCTTATTCCAAGAATGTGATTGTCAACAGGTTAAATGACTTCAGATAATACACCAGGTACAACTGAATGGGAAATCCCTAAGACAACAAACTAGGTGAGTATACACCTGGAAAATTAGAATGTTTTGTCTTTCTCAAACCCAAAATGTATCCACACCTATTGTATTAAATTGATTTTTGCTTTGATGACCATGTGAGAGATTGGTTTTTGAATCACTTATAGTCATTTACATTGCTGTAAATTTAGCACTTAACATAGTGTCTGCACATAATAGATGATTAATAACCATCCATCGAACAACTCCAGGGAAGCTGACTTTAAGGAAATAAACACAGTACTGGGTGATACATGCTATGATAGAAATACACTCAAGATAAGTATAGGCACAAATGTGCGTGTGTGCACGTACTCTCGCACCTGCACACCTTCATATCAGCAGCTGGACGCGGTGTGCGGAGGGGCAGGAAAACAGTCCCATCTTCTTTTCCTCTCTCTTAATCCTTCTAGCCCAGCCCAGGGG